TGTTCCAAGAGTTCTTCAAAGTCTTCTATCTTCAAACAAACTTTAGTTTTCTTTTCTACTTGCTGTTCTCAGAGACTTCTCCGGTTTGGATGCCAAACACAAAAGAGAGTTCATCCAAGGAATACAGAGAACAAGGCTTGACTCTTTTGCAAACCATCCAAAACACCTGCTCCTTAGTATATCACATTTAAAAACTTCGTTGACAACAGTTCATATCAAGAAAACTTCAAGTTGTTGTCAACTTCTAGGCTTGAATCTTCAATTTGCTTTCAGTATTAGGTTGGTACAAGTGATCGTTGGGAAGAGTTGTATGTATTTTTTTTTGTATATTATTGATAATTATAATAATATTAATAATAAAAATAAATTAATTATAATAACATTAATAAAAGTAAATTAATTATAATAATATTAATTATAATAATAATAATAATAATAAAAGTAAAAAACAGACAAATATAACAATAATAGTAAACTCTTTCCAACGATCCCTTGTTTAACAACAAAACAAACTGAACTACAAAAAAATAATATAGAAAAGCAACAAAGTGGACATCTAAATATTCCTAGTATCATACAAACATACTTGTTGTCAACGAAACTTTGTATACGTGAAACACCGTGGAGTGGACGTATAAACAACAAGTGGGTTGTGCCTTTAGGTCAAGCTTTTAGTGGACTCTTTTGCACTTTCGACATCCAAACCAAAAGGATATTTTGGGAGCAACATCACTGTGGGTCTCTAGACAGGAATACTAAGTAAAAACTGAGGAACTAGACTATACAACTATAACTTTTACAAGAAGAACCTCATATATTTTCGTTGGCCCACCACTTTTTTTCGAGGATTTTTTGTAAAAAGTGGGTGTTTCAGTTTACCCCCTCCAAAAGATCGACATCACATGAACCAAAATAGTCGGTATTGTTTACTTTCTAAATCAGTACAACAGGACAACAAACACGTCAAAGCATATGCCTCGAATACAGCAATCTGATCAAACAATATTCCGAGACTACTATCGAGTACCAACCTCCCTACATGATTCCGGTCGAAGAAGTTTTCTATTAGGTTTTCACTTAAATATACTATTTAGATAAATTTTAGAATAGAGACTAGTTTATTTAGTAGTATGTAATTTTTTAAAGCTTTTCACGAGCTTATAATAGTGATATTAGGATAGACAAATTTCTTTTTGTTTTGGTTTTTCTCTCTTTTTGATTCACCCTTTTCTTTCTTGCTTATATATTTTAACGTGATCCCCTATACCTCTGTGTTTTTCTTCTTTCGTTAGTATTTTTGTATTTGGCTACTTAATAAAGCATGCAGCTGCTATGGCTTATGATTGGAAGGCACAAATCCTCAGTAAGTTGAGGATCCAACGTGAAGTTGATTGCTGCTAGGTAGGGTCACATCTGGGCCATTGGCCAAGTGAGTCTCATTAGCATAGGAATATAGTATAGAAATGTTATTACCTCCTGTTGTAATAGCTTTCTGGTACTTCCAATAAAAGCAATGAGGCAGGACCGCTGAATATAAAAAAAAACAGACAAACATATAAATATGAGACAAATAATATTTACTCATAAGTGAAACCTCTGCTTATCTGTTAATACTTTTGGTATATCCTCACTTGAACTGCTGCTACTGCTACTAGACCTGCTAGTGCTTTTACTTGTGTTTCTACTAACTGACCTACCACTACCTCTACTACCTGATCTATCTTTTCTCTTACTAACCGATCTACTTTTTCTTCTTTTAACCGATTTATCTTCCAGCTCACTTTCATCTTTACTACTAGTAGCTCCTGAGCTACTAGAGCTTGAGGACAATGTTGATCTTGCTCTTTCTTTCCCCTTACTAAATACTGTTACAACTGCTTGAGCTACTGCTTGCAATATATAACTCTCATTCATTAAATAATAGATTATTGTTGTGTTAATGATATATTAAAGTTATCACCTTTTATAAACCTTACATTTTCTTTTCTTATGTTTACATGACTT